GAGAGAACACTTCAGTGAGCAGATAATTTCACGTTTTAGGCCGCGATTGGCCAAAGGTTGTGTGATATCACACCGTTGGCCTTTTTCCTGTGGGGTTATGTAAAGTCATCGAAAATTGGACTCATCGGATGGACTACCTGAGACGTAGCCATGGCCAAAATTTAAAAAAACGTAAAACTTTCGGAATATTCGAATATTGAGTGGACTAAAATATCGATTTATTTATATATATATATATGCATTTTTCAATGTATGTGTAATGTTTTGGAGTAACTATTTACAAGTATACAATTTGGTGTTTGTGTCTGGTTTTTCCTGCATTTATTAGTCATTTATCAAACAAACTAAAAGTAGAAAACTAAATGGATAAAAAAATATCCTTGAAATATACATATATATGAGTTAAAAGCAAAAATGATATATGTACTAACTTGTGATATAAATTGAAAAATACTTAAAAAATATAAGCTACTGAGAATTGAAAAACAAACAACAGAAAACATAGATTTAATTAGCACTTAAAATGAAGGGAAATTTTTAATCATTGAAAAAATTGTGATGCACATAAATATGTATGTATGTATAAAATATTAAATAGTAAATGCGTTAATGAAATACCCTAACAATAAACTTAAACGATTTGCTGTAAAAACCTAGCATGAATCTTTGCTAAAACGGGTGCAATAAAACGAAATATGAAAGTGGTGAAATCAAAAATTAAACACAAAACAAAATTTAACTGGATGAGAAACATAGAAATGCACACAAATCAACAAAAAAAATTAAAGATAACTCAAATCACACAATAAGAACTTAAAAATATATTTCCAAAAAAACATAAATATAACAAAAAAATCATAAACAAAATTCGTATTTTTGTTTTGTTTTTGATTTTGCAAAAAATAGACAAACAGCGTGACAGACAGTTAGATAGATAGCTAGAGAGTGAGTTTGAATAGAGGAAATAAAAAAAAAAATTAATGCTTACAATCATTCATATCATCATAGGATCTCATTATATACTGATCCGATGAGGATAGTCTTGAATGCCCGTTGTTGTTGTTCAAATTGGGATGAGCTCCCCCCCTATGTTCGCTTTGTTTTAAAACGCTACGCATCGCCATGGCAGATGGATTCGTTTGATGCATATACATACTATCACCTTCGCACTCACTTTCTTTATATTGAAGAACATTTTTATGTTTTTCATAGATAACCAGGCACCGATGACATCCTTTCCTACAAATATTTATGTATTCATGTAATATACTTTGCGTTTCGGCACAAACAAAAATATTATGTCAAATTATTCATTGCTTMTTTCAATTGTTTAAATTGTTTAATATAAAACGAAAAATAAATACTAAAATAAATATTTCATAAATACGTATATGTAAGTACTCATAGGTATGTATTTTGAGGTAGGTAGGTAATGTGGATATGTTTTTGAACTGCATGTGTGTGCAGTTTGTTTTCAAAA